GTTACGTGTGGCAGGGCTGGGGGCTGCTAGGCCTGCCGCTCCGTGAGATAAAAATCATCTGAGTCTTCGGACAGCTTTGCAGACATTTGCCAGGGCACTGTCAACATAAAGTCAAATAAATGCTGAGGAAGATTTGTCACCATCAAACCAGAATTGAGAGATGCTAAAAATGAAGCCTTTTTTCCCTCTTGGGTAACACTGAACAACTCTGGACTGCTGAGTGATGGTGCTCTCTGCTTGTTCTTTTGTTTCTGACCTCTCTCTTGCCTTTTCTCCCCTGCTTTTGCTCTATTTTTTTGTACTCTTTTCCTTTTGATTGCACCTTTATTTGGAAGCTATCTTAATTATTTCCTTTTCATCTGTCTGATCCCATTTTTCAGCCCCACGGTATTTTTCCAGTCCTGATTTCCCTCCTCCCACCACTTTCATTTTTTCCTCCTCACCGAGGTGATTCTCCTCACCTCAGGTCTCCAACTGCCAGCCCCAGCCACGCACCTTGGGGTTCAGTCTGGTTCCACCATGAGGAGCAGGAAGTACTTGGTGGCCTCTAATCTGCTGCGTGTCACCACCGAGCAGATAGTGCTTGCGCACCCAGCATCCTCCAATGCCTCGCAGTTTCCCCCAGTGAAGGACGGGTGTCGGTACTGCACATCCTGCGCAGAGTGTGCAGAAGTCACAGAGGCAGAGCTTATGTTATTTTATAAGCGAGTTTCACTAAAGCTAACGCTTGTCCCAGCAGGGACTCTTAATCTCTCTTGGGTATAAAAGCAATCGCTTTGGCTGTCGCAGATGGAAATTGGGACTGATAATGTAAAGTCAGTTTTACGTCCGCCTTCTCACAGGACTGGTATGTTAGTTTTGTATAAACCAAAAAATCTAGGGGAGAAGGATGCTTAGGACAAAAAATACCTGTTTTGAAGCAGCTTTGCCCACAGGATTTGACTCCCTGTCTGTGAGCGTGTTCCCTGGGGCACGTCTCCCCCTCACTGCCTCACTGACGCTCCTCTGGCCCGCTCAGCCAGCAGCATCTCTGTTGCGCAGTGCAGAGGGCTGGGGCGCAGGTCCAGTGAGGGGTCGGGAGTGCCCTGAGGCTACTGGGTAGCCCCAGGTCACCTACTGCAGCGCATCCCTCCGAGCTCTTACACCTTTAACCTCTACACCCAAGCCATCGTCTGCATGAATATAGGGTTTCTTCTGTTTCTTGATGTCCCTTCCTCAGCAATCCCAAACTGCGTGCCCTGGCAACGGCCCTGTCCCCAGGCTTCCTGAGGTTCGGTGGCACCGAGACAGATTTTCTCATCTTTGATCCCAACAAGGATTCAACTTCAGAAGAAAAAATCCTCTGGGAACTTCAGGCCCAGCAAGGTAAAACGGGCATCAACATGTTAGACTCAAAACCATTTAGGAGGTGGCTTTGATGCAGGTTGGGGATGCCACAAGGGTATGACAGCAGTGCTGGGGGTCCTCCAAGGGGTCAGCATTGTTCTTCTCCATGGAGAGGAGATCTGTGGACCTTCAGCAAAGCCTGTGGGAGGAGCTGTTCCAGCTGCGGGAAAGCAACGAAGAGCACGGGTGACCTCATGTCCACCCCGGCATCTGCTGAGACTCTCCATTTGCCACCCCGTGCTCCCTGCAGCAGCCTTGGAAACTCTCCCACCGCTTGGGAGGTGGCCAAGGTCAGCTCAAAAGTTGTGGTTTAGTTATGAAAATTAAGTAACTTATGGAAGAAATAATCAGATGAGAACAGAGCATCTGTTTTCTCTCTCTCAGCCAGAGCTAGGCTGAGGGCGCAGCCTTGCCCTCTGGTTGCATCGGCAGGGCGAGTGCAAACCCACCAGACCACTGCCAACTGCTAGAGTTTGATCCTGGTGCATGAGGTTTCCCACTGCATTAAAGTCTATTTCCTCTTTAAACCTAGAAAAAGCACATAAACCCTTCTAGAGGTGTTTCAGATGAAAAAAATTCCCATCTATTCCTGTAGTACATAGCACAACAGGGCAATTGTACGTCACTGTACAACTGGTGATGCTTGGTTTTGAAGTC